AATAGAATTACCGCACGGTGTTGTAGAGGGACGAATATCCGAACGAAACAACACCGTGCAGGCGGACGATGTTGGAAACAGTGCGCTGGTAATGCATCAAAAATAAAAACAGCGCAGATAACTGTGAGGACACTGAGTACAAACAAGATGCATGGAATTCTTATCAAATATTGATAAAAACGATTTCGAAAACGAATATAATCCCCATGGCTATATATTTTTGCATACAGGGCTCCATGTGATGATTGGTGTTTCATTTAACAATTTCATGCTCATCGTGACGATACGTGTACTGTTTTCTAAGCAGGTCCCTGCGGCAAATATAATACCATATTGAACCATGTTATGTAAAAACGTACCTAATCTACGGTAAAGAGTGTCCAATAGTTCAATAACGGCGAGTATTTTAGTTTCGCAATGCTCTTAATGACTTAACAAGTTTCCCCGCAACTATTAATTCACACGAATCCTTCCAGTCCGTGACGTCAATTCGCGTGTTATCAATTGTGGCGTCTGTCACGATCATCTTACCAGGATTTAACTAATTAAGTGTTGTTATCATTTACGTAATCCCCTTCAGAAATGCAAATATTACATTAAACTGGCAGTGATCAAATAACATGAATACTAAACTGCATGCTTTATCGCACATGCCGCATCGCCAAACGCAGATAAGTCTATCTCGCCATTCATATTAAATTGATAACTTCATAAAATGCAATCGTATTTTGAGATTACAGAGGTACATGGAGACATTTAGATGTAATCGCCGTACGGTATCAACAAAGTTCATAAATTATCTAATGGTCCATGCAGATATGTGTTGCCATCGCAACGATTTTTTACAGTGTTTATACTGGTGCAATGCTGCACACTGTAGCTACACGCATTCACATTGACTTATTTATTATATTTCAATGTAAGGTTATATTAAATAGTATCTATAGTATTGGGGTCACTGTGTGTTTACTGTGAATGGGCAATGTGGCGTATTAAAGAGCGCGCCATGTGTGCGTGTACAACTACTTACCCATATGGCTGAGCCCAGAGGCACTAATATCGTATACTGACAGTTCGAGTTTGCGGGGTACAGACCGGGGTAATTCGGCGACGTCACCTCTCCAGATAATGCCGAGTATCTTTTATTGCATGCCGGATCAACTTGGGAATCTAAAAAAACAAACCATTACAGTATAAATAGTAAACGTGGCAATGTTGAAAATATGCTACAGTGACAACTCGATCAGGAGAAGACCGCATGGGAATATGCGGTAAATACATTCTACTCCACTGACCTGAACGCTTCAGTAATCTTCGCTATGTTTATGTTGTAATTGAGTGAGATATTTTAACATGAATCTATGTATAATTAAATGTGCAGTTGTGTCAGTAAAGAAGTCGAAGAGGGCTCGGTTAACGACCGAAAACGCCGATAATGAACAGAAAATGGCAGATAATCTCATACCTATATTAGGTATCCAGTTCAAACGCAAGGAATTAAAATATATATATATAATTTTGCGGGAATTGACGTAAAAATTTACGATTTTCGTTAAAATTGAAGTAAAAGTTCAAAAGATACCCACTCAATACATTACACTAGTAGACGCTTAATTTACAGGCAAAATCACAATCACTGAATGAATCAACTAGAGTATTTTCACTTAAATTGATTGAATACAACAACGTACTAGTACCTGCTTGGGTTTCTGAACCCTAAACAAATTATAGCGACGTAAATGTTATTTCACAGTTAATTTCGTCACCCGTTATTTTCCAGGCATCTAATTAATCAACCATTATTTATTATATATGTAATTATGCACAGAAACACAGCTTTGGACACACTGATGATAACATGTAACATAACGTTCGCAACTTCCGTATCTTATTCACAGAATTCACGACGATAAAAGTAAACAAAACGACCATCGTACTGTGATGCCATTTCGTCACATTTTCCCCGATCAGCATGCGTATTTTCACTTTTTGACAAAAATGCAGGCCCGTAGTTTGGGGAGGTTCGGGGGGTTCGGTCGAACCCCCTAATTTTTGGAAGTGAATAGATTTAGTATCGTAGATTAGAACATAATAAACAAACAGTATTAATTAAAATAATTATCATCG